TTATTGGTTATCTTTTCTTTGGAGAGTTTTTCCACGTTCACTGTGCTCAGTATCATGAAAAACTGTGGAATATTTTACAAATTGTGAGTAAAAAATTTAAAAAAATTCTATCGGTGTCATACGCTAAAGTCAGCATTGCAACACTGGCTGCCTATATTTCAGCCCAGTCCGCTCTGTTATTCGCTATACAACCGAGAAATCAAACACTTTTCGTTACTGTATTGCATTGCTTAGTAAAATATACCATACTACACAGTCAGCAATTATTCATCAAAATGCTGAATAGATACGACCATCAAAGTAAAATCATTCTGACATCGATGACAGCCCGCGATAAATGTTACGGCCTCCTGTGAAATGCTAATGTTAAATTCTCCCTTGAACGTTCTTCGAGGAACGTTAAAATGACAGACCATTCCTCGAACGTCAAACAATCGTCAGGGAACGATTATAAACGTCGCTTTTAATGATAAGGACGATTGATTCCAGGCTGGGGTTACCAGAGGTACTACTTCGAGTATGTTCCGTGGTCCTAGTGCAACGAACAACTCAAGCTTAGTGCTGCCCGTCCTTGTGTTGGATTTGTAAACAGTCACAGATTGAGTCTGTCATCCTCACTCCGTATGATGTTTAAATTGGGTAGTGTAAAATTGTTCAGGCACCATTGTGGATTTGCGTTACAGAGGCAAGTTCGGCATTTCCGGGTAACTGGAATTTTGCTGCGACCGCCGCACCTCTGCCGTGCCGCTGCCGGGCCGTATTTCGATTATCCTCTGCATCTCCGAGCTGCACATAAACAAAATTACCGGGAATTTTGTAGGATCAATTTCCCCCTATCCATTAGGGATCGCTCTCCATCCCGCACCGGCTATTACGGGGTAAGGGGGAGGGGGTTCGATCCTCGCTACGTCCTCCTACAAATGCGTTCTCCCCATTACGGACCGCAAATTTTCATAAATATGACAATACCGATGCCGTCTGCAGAGATGGAATCACGTCACATGGGATTGGGATTCTGAAACCAGAAAAAATGGCGCCAAGGAAATTCTGATTGAAATTGTGGTTGGCATTACATTTTGTTTGTTCTACTGACTTTGTCCAATAAAATGCCTTCAAAGCTTATTGAAAGTATTTTTGTCACATCCTCTGATTTCCTAGCCTTTGAAATCAAGAAAACCGTCGCTCTGTGCAAGTAAAGTTTTAATAAACAATGCATATTCATTATATTTACCAGTTAGAATTATACAATAATATGCAACTTTCTAGCATATACACTGCCACGCAAGATTAACTGGTGTCATTTTTTTTGAGTATTACTTGACAAGAATCTTTTTGACATGCCATAACAATGCTAACAGACAGTCTACTTGAAACAATTTCTTACCCGATAAAGCCTGATTGAAACAATTTCTTGTTTATGGCTATGATTCGCATGATTTTCTTCTAAACAACATAAATATTCTTCAATAACTGAGATATTGACATGAATAAAAAAAGAACTGTTGAGAAAAGTCGATGCTTAAAAGACACATTATTCAGTAATCCAATGTTTCCACAGAGTGTTCGGAAATTTACAGCAAAATGCACCTTTTAGTTACACCCCGTAGTTTTTTCAAATTTAATTTGAACAAAATTTTTTTTGTCCAGTTAATTTTTGCGTAGCAGTGGAGTAGTCTCTCTTAAATATAGCCAAAATCAGTCTGGTTCATTCATTTCTCGCGTGCTCATCTTTATGGCAATCGTATTTTAGCGGCCGCTGTCACAACTTGTTATATCGAGGCTCCGGCTGATTCAAATCGACAGCGGGAAAGATTGGGTTTCCCACCTTCGGAAATGAGCGAAATGTATCGTCAGTGTTGCCGATTTTCAGGTGCGTCCTATAAAGTATTTGATAAACTAAAGTTTGGAAACAAAAGAGTATATACAGGGTCAAAACTTGTCAAAATAAACAAATTTTCCTAATAACAGTAAGTTATAGGTTGCAGAACACTCTGTGATATCAAATCTGGCTCTGCTTCTAGCAAAGCATTAGATGGAAAGATGCAACTTACGTAAATATACAACGCATCGGCCGCACCTCATTTAGACAAAAGTTCGATGATAAATCGGATTCGAAAAAGCTGAAAATGGAAAATTCTTACGGCAATTACGAACTTATAGACTCTATTGTAAGTTACGGTGATTCGCAGTTGTAGTCAGAGTGTTTCCCCAGTCGTTTCCATCCCGCGCCGCATATGCACGTTTATTGCGAAGAAAGGCCTCTTGTAGAAACGCCGATGTATTCTCGTTGGTAGACTTGACATCCCCGAATGCTGCAAATGAGGAAAACTTACAAACTTCTGTTTTTAATCGAAGAGCGACAACTTCGGACAGTCTTTATAAAGGCGGTACTTGAAATTTCTTATCAAATGAACAATGAGTGTTTTTTTTCAGTTTCTACGTTTTACGCATATAAAGGGTGATTCAAATTGAGTTTCCACATTACAAATTATTTTTTTTTTGAAACGCTACTGAATTTGTCAACGACAACGTGTCATTTCTAACGTCAAAACATAAACCAAACTGTCATGGATCAATATACGACCGAACAACGTGTTAAAATTATCCAATCCTATAATGAAAACGGCCTATCAAGGAAGAATACATTTCGTGCTTAACGTGAATTTTTTGTCGCACAAAATCGGCCTTGTGAGAGGACAATTTGGAATTTGGTGCAAAAATTCTAGCAAACTGGATCCGTCGCTAACATCAAAACCCCTAGGCATGCTCGTAGAGGTCGGTTGGAACACATCATTGCTATTGTTGCTATATAAGTGTGGCCGAAAATCCAAGAACATCGATCGCAGCAACTGGACCTTACCTATTCCACTACACAGCTGATTTTAACAAAATATTTGAAGTTACACCCATACGGAGTCCAAATAACACAGGAATTGAAGCCTAGAGATCATCATAATCATACTGAATGGATAAGAGAACAAGGGGTAAATTTTCCAATGAAAATAATCTTTAGCGGTGAGGCACATTTTAACATTGGGGGCTTCGTAAACACTCACAATTGTCGTATTTCGGGATTGGAAAATCCAAGGCAGATTGTTGAAGCGAAAATGCATCCTCAAAAGGTGACTGATTGGTGTACCTTTTGGTCCGGAGGCGTAATTGGTCTATTTTTTTAAGATCATTCGGAGAACGCTATTACGGTTAAAAGCGTTCGCTATCGGAACAATACACGATGACTGAGTTTTTCCTGGAACAGTTGGAAGATATGGACATCGTAGATCTCTGGTTTCAAGAGGACGGCGGCACCTGTCACACATCAGGAGAAACGATACAATTACTGCGCGGAAAGTTTCCAGGTCGCGTTATTTCACGTAACAGCGATATCAATAGGCCGCCGCGATCCTGTAGTTTAACTCCCTTAGATTATTTTCTTTGGGGGTATCTCAACAGCAAAGTCTACAAGAATAACCCGAACACAATTGCGGAACTGAAACAGGAGATCAGACGCGAAATTACGAACATAAGACCTGATTTGTGCCACAGAGAGTAGTCGAAAATTTCTCGAAACGGTGGTCATTTATTTGATATCATCTTTCATGCATAATTGTAATGAACTACCGTGAAAGAGCAAATACATATTTTTTTATAATTTTCAATTCTTTTTTTAAATACTTTTAATGTGGAAACTGAATTTGAATCACCCATTATAAGTATATCTTGCTGCCGAACTACACATTTTTGGCCGTTTTCCCCCTTTTTTATACTGAAGCAGCTACGCAGACAGAAACCTAAATACCGGGACACGTTCTAAAATACTCATTTTCTGATGACACCGGGGTGTGAACACCTTGGCGTTTCCGTCTCAACAGTCACGGGTTAGTTAACCAGAATTTACTGGCAAGTTAACTAAATAAAATAAAAAAAAAACGGAAGTTGGGCTGTGATTGAAAAACCGGACCTAAAACATGTATTCAGGGAGTCATTCAAAGCTTTGTTGTGGAAGGATCGGCGATAACTTCACCCTTGTTCCAACTAATATACTTAAAACTTTTAATCAGTTTATTGTGTATAGTGTGTTTCACCTCCTACGTAGATAGCTTCTATCGGATCCCCATCGAACAATAAATTAATTTACCATCCACCGTTGACCAACTCAATGTACAATCTCGTAATTTCTTAATACACGCGACTGCTGAATACTCCATGTAACAAGCACCATGTATACGAATTATTCGTGACATCGCAGTGTCCCTATCCCATCCTCGGAGAGTCCTAACGATCCTGTTGGGAGGCTGACTATAGTTCTAGTTGTGCCATTGGACCGTAAACATATCGAATTACTAAAACATGCTCCGGCAGCATCGCATGGTTTGAGTTTCCTATACCGTACAAGTTTTATAAATAACACACTAGCTGTGCGGGATGAATGAATGGATACGATACGGGGTGGTATAGAAAGGTGTATAGGGTGACTGGGCACCCCCCCCCCATATCAGGATTCTAGGCGAATTTCCCAATGTGTAGGTGACCTGTTACTCTGTCATGATGGGCATACCTATAGCTTGCTTTGAAGAAACCTAAACATATTGTGGAAGCGCTTGATCTATTGGTTACATATTCCTCCCAAAACAGTACGGCAGGATCATCGGGAAAGACGGGTTGATATTTTTACTATGAAATCACCTACTCAAGAGAAATATTGCCCTAGGTTACCACATGTCCACACGCTTTAGTTTTTTGAACATATTCAATTAAATTTTGATAAAGGATGTATTGTGATCTTTTCTGTACACGTTATTCACGTTCACACTTTCAAGTATTCGCAGTGATTTATGTATCAAAATATCGCAAATGAAAATTTTTCAAAAATATAAATGTCACGTATTCCAACACTCGCGATTTATTTTTCATATATGACCCTTACTATGCTCTAGAACACATATTTTTCACAATTTTCGCTAAGGTTGAGCGGTGTTAAAAAATATTATTATTTGCGTATAATGTGTGATGAGTCGCTAAGTACATTGAATGAAATGTAAGTCTGCCCCTTGAAAACAGGAAAATAATTCGTTGGACACATGTTTATTTTTTATCAACTTTACTTCAATATTTTTTGAACGATGTCGATTTAGAAATACTAAAAAAATACTCGGAAGTGTTTTTGCTGTTACAAGAATGGAATTTTTCGTACGCTATATATTATGATACAGAGTAAAATAAGCTTTTTGACAGCATGGACGTTTTATTAGAAAAGCTAGTAAATCTTGTTATTAACCCTTTCAGTATTTTCTTATTGGGTTACATGCAGCAGTCGCCCACTTTTTATATGACTGCTGCAGTCATATAAATCGATAGATGATAACAAAATGTACCATGCCGTACTTGTGTTTTTGGTACATTGGTTTCAAATATTACAAATTTCAAAAATTTGTTTACCGTGTTTTTCGAAATTAAGCAGCTTATTGAAAATCATCAACAGGACATTCTTAGTTTAGTTGCCGTTGCCTATACTTGTAGTTTTCATCCAATACTATAAATTTGTTTGTATGAATCTTACTATATAAAATTATTTGTTTCAGGTTTATCAATGCGAGGCGGAGAATAGTGCAACCAATGATTGACCAATCAAATAGAGCTGGTGAGTAAATGGAAGTTAAGCATTCTAGGCATAAAAGACCTTTGTCTGCCCTTTGATATAAAACTATTCAACTTAATAAGTGTATGTTATTAAGTATCGTGGAGAAGCTTTAATCGTCAATTAAGACGTTTATGCCTCCCTCTGTGGTCAGTTGGCTTGCACCAGATGATCAGAGCAATTACAAAAATAATATTCCTAATCCTTTTAGTTCTATATTTTGCTAAATTTAATTGAGATGAGCTGTTGTTAAAAATGAAGAGCTCCAAATTACCTTAAAACGCAGAACAAACTGATCAAGAAGTTTTTAAATGGATGCTTTGAGAGATTCAAGCAGAAGTTGACTCTTCGTACCTTATTGCAGCGTGTTACTAACTTTCTTATCACCATCCAGGCATAGAATAGCAGTTAAAGATACATTTCCAATTTAACAAGTTACGGGACATGATTCACGCTGCAATGCTTGGTTATTTGGCTTGGTGGAACTTAGGAGTCGTTAATATTCTGTTATTTGACTATTTTGGAAAAAATGCCGTCGAAGGAATGTTAAACAAATTGAAAATCCAAGTCTAATCGTAGGATTTTTTGATAGTACATACAATACTTCATCTATATAAATGGAGGTACAAACTGGTAACCTATGAAGAAAGTATAATTTATTACTTATCATCATTGATATTTCCATATTACGATCGAAAATTAACTGAATATACGAAATAAACCTAAAAAATGCCATTTTCTTTAGCTTTGAGACTCGATAGCCTTTACTAAGATCGTGGATGATAGGTTCCGCCTTGAAAATTTTCTCGGCAACGTTTGAGTCTTCCCCATTTATATATGTCAATGTCAATATGACAATTTTACCATGGGCGTGCGGTTTGAGTTTACCTCTGTTGATCTTCATTAGAAAACATAGTATTGCCTGTAGATGCGGCTATAATGTTGAAAGGGTTTGTACTAAATTTAATGAAGTAGTTCCAGTATGTGAACGAAGACAACGATTTTCTGTCTCACAATTCATATCTGAATGCTTTAAATATCTACTTAAACAGTGTGCAATTTCTTTTAAGGAATTTAAACTCCACACATGATAGTTTGTCAATCTGTTTACTTGGCGAGACATTATAATATAACCGCTAAAAAATCTCAACCTTGAGGACATCCTGTATGTAATTTCTTCGAGTATCTACCTTGATTTCATTTATTTTCATTTCAATTCTACTGCTGTCCCAAACGTTATTAAAAAGTCATCAAATTCCACAAATTGATGAACAAAGTCATCAAACACCACCGTGCTCGCTTGCATCACCTCTACTTTATGTCAGGTATGTTGAAGGCCCCGCCCTGCGTCACTCTGATAGCGGTGATTTCCTCTTCTTTTTACGCCATACAAGCCGCAAGTATATAATGTATAATGAATCGTGGTTTCCATTAAAGCTTAACGCTGTTACACATTTTTACAAAGATACTACGGCCGTTGGACCGCCGCGCCGATCCCAGCCATGCCAGGCCGGCCAGACCCGGTACCAATCGCTAAGATATGACTTGTAAGTGGAAAGTCTTGTATGATCGGTTATCGTAAACGGAGCGAACTCAATTCCAGGGGCGCCACAAGTGGGCATAAAGGATCATTATCCGTAAACTTCAGGCCAACATCCTATGAAAAAACGTGGTGACATCGTGGCATGCTTCAAGGAATGCTTTCGGGAACGTGAGTTCGGTTATAGATATATTTTGGGCCTAGTTGAGTCCATATTTTACGCTAATGGTCCTAAAAGCCTCGTGACATGGTATGAAATCACAATACATTTGAAAAACGTCGCTATGCCGTGTTGCAGAATGCTTAGCTAGTCATGGTCAACGAAAACACATGAAGACTAGAGATAGGAGGTTAAATTGCTTAAGGGATAAACTTATTCATATGAAGTCAGTCCTATCTCCAAAGATGGTATCATTCTCGGAAACCTAGTGGGCATAGAAGATGGCATAGAGCGCCTGAGCATTGAAAAATATCAACATAACCTGCCGCAATCTTTATGTGTATTTCACTCACGTTTCTCCATGCCTTGTAGGCTTATTACTTGGTGGTTTGTTAATATTATCCAATATTTCTGCTTGCAACTCATACGTACTGTCAATATTGGAGTTGTATACAGTCTTGCTGACAGCTACCGAGGAAGATTCCACATGCGCAGAACCTGAAATTCATTTTTCGCGCGGTGTAAGCAGAGATGCCCTATGCGCAGCAGCTGAAATTAATTTGCTGCGCAGTGTACCAACTCACTTCGTCGTGGACATTTTTGGCTTCACCCCACTCCGTGAGGTTAGCCTCCTATCTCTAGTCTTCAAGGGAAGACTTCCGTTGACATTTAAGATGACCTCACTTACTTTTGCCAGGTAACCAGTTGACGTATACAAATTTGATACCATGTCGTCATGACTGTTTATTATCGCCTGTAGCTGTTCATTTGTACTTAAGCTGGATTTTATAGGGCCCCCTGCCATTCATCAAATGTTCCACGCATGATATACAAATTAGAAGTAGTAGCATAGAGGATTACTCTTCTTCTACTCCTTCGTTTTTGACTTTTCCTCTACGGGTTTGTCGTCATCAGCTTCCACAGCCTTCTATCTTCCCAGGCAGATATTTCTGTACCATAGCATTTCTGATGTATGTCTTCCAATTTAGAGGGAATCCTTCGTCGTATCATGAAAGTAATTCCAACTTTAGTATCCAATGGCCGCTGAACGCAAGTGTTTTTTCAGGGCAAATTCCTAACAGCTCAGCAACTATTCTCCAAAACTCATGGTCCTTTTATTCTAGAAGCTCAATCCAAAAGTGGAACAAACATTCAAGTATTTTAAAGCAGTTTTCCCATGTGTCGTATAATGGTAGTAATTTATCGTCCAAATATAGTTAGGCTACCCTATATAACTACCGTAATAAATTTTAGATTTTTGGCAATAAAAATAAATTTTGGAAACCTAGATCGGTACATTAAAAAATTATCAAGTGGTTGGAAGCACGTGTATTAAAACAGTCAATTGCAACGGTTTAACGTTCCAAGAAACATGATCAAAGTTCTGCTCATTCTTCGGCCATTTTTGTTTTGTTATTTGTGGGTGGAATACGATATGATTGTAATAAACAGCATTATTGTTGTTATATCATTGCTTTTGCTTAAGAAGAATTACTTTTCCAAATACAGCCTAAAACGTGAAAAAAGAACAGCACTCTTTGTAAATTGTACTTTCTCAACCAATTTCCACCCGTTGCCCACTCATGCATATCGACAGTCTTGTTATACACAGTCTCCTAAAATACCTCAGTAGAAATTTAAGAACCAACGGTCTCCCATCTACTGTTGGGCGATGATCAGTTCCTTTTGTGACCGTTATGCGAGCAAAATTTATTAGTCCGACTTCTCCTTCACATGTCGCCATTTTCTATGCTGCTTAAGGGGCTTCCTCTTGAAAGCCAATTAAATCAATGATAACTGAGTTCTACTGCTGAATATTTTATAAGTGACGACACCTATTGCAGAGAGTCTTCTCTACCTGGTAGAAAAATATTCATGGACGGCCGTGGTTCGTCCATATCACCGTCACCGTAGTGTATTTCTTCTTGTTGTTCCATCCCAGCTGAGGTTTTGTTTCTTTTTCGGTATTTCGCCCAGTATTACCATATACCGATATACACCGGTCTCTGGGAAGATTATTAATGGACAAGAGATGTGTGTTTATTCATCTCTCTCTCCCTCCCTCTCTCTATCTTCTTTTTCTTTCGATATGTGTTATAGTAATTACATAGTTGTTGGTTTGCTTCTCTTTCTTTGTAACCTCGTGGGACTATCATATTTCTTATTTTTGTTTTTAACGCACTGGTATAATATAGAATTATCTCTTGTTTCATGTAGACTTGATATGAGAGTTGAACGTAGAAAGAGCAAAGCAAAGACGGGCTCATATGTTATCCAAAACAACAACAACAAAAATTCATTACACAGAGTATTTTGAAGGTCTATACTCCTCAGGAGTAACTGTGTTCAAAATTGGTTCATGTTTCACTTTCTTGGTGTTTCTTATTGATCAAATTAGATTTTTTGACCTTTGCATTTTTATAGGTTAATTAATGGTTCTGGTTTGTTTTTTGTTTTGAGAATTTTTTCTGGCAGAGGAGCTCAAGTTTATGTTCTGATTCTCATTTATAAAGGTACTCTGCAATGGCAAAACAGCAAAAAAAGAGTATTATAATAAAGAAATTACCATTAACCTGATATAAATTAAACGTACCGCTATCAAGCGTCACAGAATATTGTGGTCTTAGCTTTCAGGAATATGAAAATAATTTTTATTATGCTACTACCGCACTGATGACCTTTGTGGTGGATTTCTGATATAGGATTTTTTAGTATCATTAATCACATGTACTATTATTTGTCTGAGTGTCTGTTTGCTTTTCGTCGTATGCACGGTGTTTCTCTTTGTATCTGTTGAGAAATTTACGAATAAATGAATAATACTGTTAACATCTATATTCGATAACCATCTCCTAGCTGATAGGTTTCATAGCATCATCAACGTTCCTGTACTCCATGTGCACGAACGTATCTCCTTTGCGACCCAGTTCCTCTTTTAGCATACTTTCACCCTTCGTTCTGTGAACAGCATCAGGAGCGAAAAAGGCGCGTATCTCCCCCTTTTTGGGGGTGGCCTAGCTGTCACCCAACGGGGTGATGGATCGGCTCGCGAGGGTCAACGGCTGTGCCGCCATTTCTCTTCTGCTGTCTCCAACAGGAGCTCTTGCACGAATCGATAGCTACTGCTGCTCCTGCTACTGCAGACGAAAAAGAACACCACGCTCTTAACAGTGTTATCGGGATGTTGGCAGACAAAGGGGTGAGATTTCTCTGGAAACACTCAAAATCTCACATCAATGATAATTTGGTGCAGTTTCTAAACTTTTTTATAAGGTTTGTTGCAACAAGCCGTTCAGAACTCATTCCAAATTATTTGTCTGCACATGCCCGAGGTACATACAATTCAGAACTATTCTCTTGGGAGAATTGTTGTCGTAAACATACCTTAATTGAAGTAAAATTTAAAATATCAAGTTTCCGTATGCTAGACTTGGAGTTTGGAATAATTTGTTTCTCTCTTGACGTACTGTAAATCTTTTTTGAAAATAATAGGGAAAATGCCTTGCTCTGCTACAGAAGCAGATGAGGATATTACCTGGAATGTTAACAACACTAAGCTATCAATTGCCTTAAAATGAAAGGAATTTATAAGATTAATAACATTATTGAAACAAATTCATTGAAATTACCAGCACTTGACTATGTAATCAACATTTCTGATTCTTGGAACTCCTATAATTATAGCACAAGATCTTCATCCTCACTTGAATTTGTTCCAAAGTAATCTTTTTTGAAGATCTATAGTAAAGGTCCAGATTTAGCTTAAACATATGTGAAATTAAGTAGTAGTAGAAAGAAATTATTACATAATTGGATGTGGTAGCACACTCTCCGATGAAATGAAAATTGAAAATAGTGTCACGCTTGATCATTTGGTGCAAGACACAATCTCCACCATATCGTGGTTATAGTTATTTAAATGACACCAAAATTATATGTCCGAGAACAGTGTTTGCACGTCTAACGTTTAGTTTTCTCCCCGCATGCAGGTCCCAGCGGAGCGTACAGTCCCGACGGTACGATGGGTTACATGATGGACGGCCAACAGATGATGCACAGGCCACCTGCGGATCCAGCCTTCCACAACCAATACGCGCACTACCCTGAGTACTACGGACATCACCTGTGAGGTAAGATGATCACCGCCATCTAACTTCACGAGAATGAAAAATCTCTTAGGTTTACGCATTTTTAGTTAAATTTGGCAACACCTCACCTTTTATGGTATGCCACACAGTGTTAACACGCACATAACAGATGGTGGTAGGTATCTAAGCAATGTGTTACCTACGATACGGTGTAAACATGGCCAGAGTTTTCTACTGCTCTGCTCTATTTTATAAAACATCATTCTCCTAAATCTGTAATAGGTTAACATTATTGTTAAAAAGAGCATTTTTCTACGAACATAAATATATTTTGCAACAATGAGTAAGCAATTAGTGTTACAGTCATGGATTATTTTAAAACAGGATTTTGTCAAGCTGAACTTTATAAACTATAATCTATTTGCAATAATATGCCTATAGATATATTGACCTATTGACCTGAACATGAAATAAATACCTGTTATCAAACTTGTGCCAAACAATCTCCCAAAATGGTTGAACCTAACCTGTAATAAAGTACCAAAATAGAAGAGATTGGCCTGAAGCAGTATATCTTTGTGTACCTGTGCGTGGATCTCGCTATACTCAATGACGCGCCCACGTTAGCAGTGGTGTTCCATTTTGGTTCTCGAGTTTTGAGACAAGCCTATTTATTTCCACGTCAAAACAAACAGTAGTCGATTATATTCGCTTGTCGTTGCCTGCCCAGGCATTTATGGCCCGAATATGATAATTGCGATTATGTTTCTTGTGATCGGTAGTGAATAAGATTTGAAAAACCTCTAATAGAACGTCCTAACACACGCTTCTTGTTACAGGTCTCCCCTATGACGTCACAACGACAATGGACATAGAAATATGCAGATCTTAAATGTGATTACTATCTGTACAAAGTGTAAATGTAGTGTCCCAGTGTTTTTAGTTGAAAAGGAGATATGAGATGAGAAGAATATACTATAACGACGAAAGGGAGATGGACTTGTACAAAACAAAAAATATATAAGAAGTATTAGACTGCTCGTAACGACTGCGTTCTGAAGATGTACATAGATAGTGATGAGATTATGGCAGGAACCGGATTTCCTGTATATATGATGTTAGTATACAGGGTGTCCCAATCAATAGGCTTCAAATTTTTCATGGTGGTGGAAAATCAGTGAAAGTCAAGGCGATAATATACGATTTGTCCTTAAGTAGGAAAAGGGGGCCCAATTTAAACAAGGTTTCTAAGCACACAATGTTTCGTTGTAGTAATGATGAAAGTATCATCCCATTGAAGGATATTCTAAAACAGATACTCCTCATATAACACGCTTTTTGATTGGAACGCCCTGTATACGTTGCAAATGGATTTCATACTGCACCGATGGTAATATAATAAAGAGAGATGTGAGCGACCACCAAACATGTAAGATGATGTGGTTATGTAGTGTAGGTTTCTCAATGTGTTACCTTACAAAACAGCATTCTCCTGACTCAAAACAGTCTATCATAACTGGAGATTTTTTAATTTAAAAAACATAAATGCAATATAATAAACACATCTACAAAAGAGACACTAAAGACGTCAAGAAATGAACTGTCTATAACCGGATCTTTATAAAGTTCAATACATCCTACTATTTGAAACTTTCGTGAATGCAATTTGCTATTTAAAGTTATTTTGAAAATTTTAGAAAAGGTATCAACAAATGTTCAAATGTTCAATGATTGACGTCGTTTTCAACCAAACAGCAAGAATTATTTTCTACTGCAAGTTTACATTGTACCATACTAAATCTCCAGTTACGATTCGTCCAAAAAAGCATAAAAAACGATCAGCCGCTCCACAATTCATTCATATCCCCCCCTCCCCCTCCATCAAACACACTCACTTCTATTGCCGCGTTTCATAAAAAAATATATCCAAAAAGTACATAGCGTACAAAAAAATAACCCAAGGTTGTGCTGTTGTAAAATAGTTGTTGAACAAATACCTGTTGTGATTTTCAGTTTTGCTATTCGAGGAAAACTTAAAGGACAAACATACGGGGTGTTTCGAAACAGTTTTACTATGATAATTCTAAAAGTAACACGCTACGTTATTCATATCTAAGAATTTTTTAGCTGGGTCTTAGTGATCTTACGTTGACATGATGGTAATATGACGTATCTCACTTTTTTATACAAAAACGCCATTGACGCATCTTATGTTATGCACCTCAGACAATTTTTGTCGGAATTTCTGAAAAAATATTCTCTTAGTAAAGTCGTTTTGGCACACACTGTATCCAAAGGGAAACCAGTACTCTCTCCCCACTCTTTATCCCATCTTATTTGCCCTACCATCTCGGTATATACGACTACGATATACGTAAAATAACCTAGAAGGATCAAATGCTACACAAATATACACAAGTATACAGAATGTTGCAAAGTACCTCAGGTATGGCAGAATACCAATTACTATATCAGATATCTCTATAAATTTTTTAAAGAGAAACATTTCGAAATACAGTCTATATACGATGTTTTGCTTGTGCAGTTTTTGTAAACGCTGAACTATCCGGGGTTTTTAGATAAGTTGTCTGGACAATCAAGTGTAGTTGTAAAGTACATATCTAGCAAAATTCTATTATTGGTTTTTTAGCTAATCGATTAAGCGTTCTATGTTTATTATCTTCGGTTTTATATAACCGATTTGAAATTCGCGAAATCTATAAGTAATACATAAATAAACAGCTGATGTGATTTTCTAAAGAGCAATACGAAGATTTTATCCTCGATCATAAAAAAATGAAACGTGACAATGAGAAATGTATACTTCACCCCAGATAATTTTGCGTTTACAACAATTTTATCAACAATTTCTTAGCCTTATTATATTGATAAGACAGTGACTGTACCAACGCTAAAGGATTATTTATTATAACGACAGTACCAGTGATTTCGTACTTGCCAGAGTTATGCCGTACACCGTTGTTGAAAACTGACACATATACCAGCGTTTTATTTCAAATGATTGATAATGACTTATAGAGGTCTGTTTTTGGAAGATTTCAGATGAGGTGGTGCCAAAATCATTGTCACTGTCAATCTATTTTGCGTACCTATCTACTGTCAAAATCATAGAAAACCTCAAATCTAACCTTTTATCTAACTACTGAATTGTTTCTTTTCATAGATTTCTATCAGTTCAATATAAATGATTATTTTCAGATATTTTATTCAATTAATATAAATAGCAAATCAGTCATACGTAGTATTTACTTAGATTGTTTTTGTTGGAATTTAAGCAATTTATTACAGACGTTCTTGCAATCATATTAGCAAATGTCCTGGACATAATTGTAAAGTCTGGTTTTATTGATGCAAGTTGTTCAAGGGGGGATTTAAAACACGGACGCATAAAACGGGTACATCCATTTTTGTGGGAATACTTTTTATTTGACAACAAAGAATGAGAAAACGTGTTTTTTGGGATATAATCGAGAATATTGACTGGAAGGGAAAAACTTTTCATATAAGATTTTTAGGTATTTATGAGACCTACAAAATGAGATCACAAGTAAAAATATCCGACTAATATCAAAAATGTTATGGCCGAGAAACGAGGCAAAATGCAGGTTTTGGCACTTGATGGTAATGCGACGATAATTTCATGCAACTCCTTCAAATTCTTCAAATCCGTAGGATTCATACTTCTACATAATAAAAAAAATTGGATTATAGAGGTCAAGTAGTTTTTTGAGAAAATCTAATTGTTTATCCCAAAACACCTGTTTTCCGGCATCATTTCTAGTTTATTGAGCAATATATAGGGTTCGTTGAAACAGCATTTAATAGCAAAATATACGTGCTTACCTTGCCGATATGAATCACAAACCATTCCGAAAGATAAATGTTATTTTTATGCGAAAAACAAAGGTAACGTGTTTTCCTTCTAAACAAATTCATACATTTCGTATTTGTGGGTAATTGAACAAATGCGCTGTCATATTCGAAAAACATACCTTACTATACACATTTTAAAACAAAGCGGATGTATCTTATCATCTTTAGCTGCGAATTACTCACAAATACGAAACGTTTGAATTTGTTTAGAAGAAAAAACGTAACCAAACCTTTTTTGCATAAAAATAACATTTATCTTCCGGAATGGTTTGCGACTCATATCGGCAAGGTAAACTAGTGTATTTAGCCCTTTGAACTAACCCTGTATATTGCTCAATAAACTAGTAGTTTAGGCCGGAAAACAGGTGTATTGGGATAAACAATTATAAATTCTCAGAAACTACTTGTCACCAATCAACTACAATTTTGTTGTGATTATTTAAAAGACAAATCCTGAAGAATTTCCAATATCTATGAGAAACCATCGTCGCATTACGAACAAGTGCCAAAACCTGCAGATTGCCTCAGTTTTCGGCCATAACTTTTTTGCTATTAGTCGGATCTTTTTACGTGTGGTCTCATTCGATGGGTCTTATACATACCAAAAAATCTTATATGAAGATCTTTTTTGTTCCTGCCAACACTTTCGATTCCCAGAAAACACGTTTTCTCACTCTTTGTTGTCGAATAAAAAGTTTTCCCACAAAAATTGGTGTACCCATGTTTTGAATACCCCCTTGAACAACTTGCAGCAATAAAACCATACTTTACAATTATTTCGCAAACCAGAGGTATTTTCGTCTAATATGATTCATCAACCTTGTAAAAAGTAGCATAATTATTTTGAAATGGTTCACTGAGCAATGTGGCACCATACGGCAAGGATGCACATACTGCAAACGTTTAATCAATACTAATTGTATATCATCAATATACCTTCTCTGTTCAATACTTCTTTATTTGCTTTATTTGCTGCAAAAGCTTGGGAAGTAAAGTTACAATTTTATTTTCTAGTTTTCCTTATTGCTTGAGAAGTATTTCAGATTTTGGCATAAAACTCGGTATAGGGAGGTTTTCTAGTACGAGAAACGAAAATCCGTTATTTTTTATGGACAAACTTCTAGAGGGCGCCACTTACAGCACTATTTCAGTAAATAACATAACTATTTTTTGCTACCCTGTATACAACTGACCTAAAAATCTTATTTTCCCTTTTTCCACAACAAAAAAGGTTTACTTGTTAGAAGCCTCTAAAGCTAATAGTTTTCGAGATATTTGATTTTAAAGCATTAAATCTTGCCAATCCGTACATTAAATGCATATCAGAATATTCATCAAACGTATACTCCATGATGTTTAACAACTTATTGTCAATTATTCATGAAGTTTAAAGCAATATAATGACAAACATTAGAATCCATAGCAACGCTACTCAGATATTATCCAAAGCAACTTGATTATGTTATAAAAATGTTTTTTCATCGTGGTACAAATAATGCATTTGCAACTTTTAAAAACAAATGTCTCGAAAACTATTAGCTTTATACACTTCGGTCAGTTGTTGTGTACAGGGTAGCAGAGAAAAGTTATGATGTTATTTACCAAAATAGTGCATTAAGTGGCGCCTTCTAGAAGTTTGGCTATATAAAATAACGGATTCGTGTTTTTCATACTATAAAACTTTCATATACCGAGTTTTATGACAAAATCTGAAATACTGCTCAAGCAATAAGGAAAAATAGAAAATAAAATTGTAACTTTGACACCCTGTATATCGCAAACTATCAACTTTTGTATGTTTAGGTCCATTCACTTAGTTTGGTCTGTAATATCCCCAGTTTCGAGATTTCCCAACCTTTCACGGGAAATCTGAAAACAGAGTCTTTCGAAAACATACCTTTAAAAAATCATTACTTGAGCACTGTATACGATATTTAACCCTAAAGCTAGTAAATATTGGTATATGTCCAAGTTTTCTGAACAATGTACAATGAATGTTATCTATAAACCCTGACCAGAACTGTACGCCGTAGGTAGTCTCTACAAGGAGGCTCCTTGTTACTGTTTACGGTTAAATTTGTTCTTCATAGGGTTAGAACCAATCGCTTGAATCCCGTAGGTCATGAATCAGTAAGTAAACTACCAAACTTTAGGAAAATTAAAGGAATCATTGTGTTTGGAAAGTGAATTCGTTCCAACACAATTGTTTGAAGCCTAATTTATAGCTGCCTAATATATGTCTTAACGCTTGCTGAATCTCATGATCCACAGTTTCTCGAGCCCAAAAGCGAGCCGATATATCCAATATGTGGTCCTCTCCGTACCCCTTACACATGTATACGACTCTAGTGATGTTATATAGGTTATTAATGTAAATTTATCGAATGCAAGTCTTTGGAGAGACCAGTAGGTGGACAAGCTCGCCAAGCATGGTCATATCTAGACCAGCCCGTCGTCTTTGAACTTACGCTAAAATGCAACGTGCAATATTTCGAGTGTTTGAGCCCACCACAACTACAATATACCAGTCGACAGGTAAATTATAAAGAATGTTTGGTGTAACCATTTTTTTAGCTTCACTACTTTTTTATCTACCGTTTACAAGCTGGCTTGAGCCAATTTTTCGGTACCAATATTGCACCGTAAGAGAATAAAACCCCTCAAATACATGTCCAGAGACAAGTATCTTAAAAAAACGTTTTCTCTCAACTGCCCTTAAGGCGGGTTTTCACGCTACGTCTTATTGTACGTTTTGTCGGGCATACAAAACGTACGACAAAACGTACGTCTACGTGTTTTACCTTCCGCTTTCTTGTACAGTTCCAGTCTAGGCTCTTGAATTGTGTGAAGTTTGTTTAGTGAATTTTTTGAAAGACATTTTTTTATTATGGAGGAAACATTTTTTCGACTATAATGACACAACGACTGAAAGGAAAATTGATGAAGAGGAAAAAGACAAGATGGTCAAGGGAGTGGCTTCTGAAAATAAGCCAGTATTCCCCCGTCTCGTTATTGAAACAACTGAGGAACGAACCTGATGACTAGCGGAATTATTTGCGAATTGACACCTCGACCTATTGTCAATTGCTAGAGTTAGTAACAGAGATTTCTGATGCCCCCTCACTTTTTTCAACACTTTTTGTAAACCGATCGCAACGAGTTTATTTTTTTGCAACAGTCTCTTTATTTGCAATCGTGTCTACTTCTTTGTATTTTTTATAAGATACTCAAACGCGTCGTTTTTTTTATTACGGTCACTATAGTCTTTACTTTTCACTTGCCACAAACATAGAAAACTATTCATTTCAATGAATTCCCCGAGAAAATCGTGGGTGCATTGCCGCAAGTCTGACATTATTAGTTTTTTGGGAAAAAAGGAAGCGAGCTGAAGTGGAGCTACTCGTGAACTGAGCCAAGATCGGACGTCTTGTCTGAACATGAGTCTACACGTTTTATTTTGTCCTACCAGTTCTCGCAAAATGATGCTTCTCCCATCAGTTTTTCAATCTGACCTTGGATTCTACAAGACGTACGTTTTGCTGTTTACACGCCACGTTTTATTGGCGGGTAAACACGTACAATAAGACGTAGCGTGTAAACCCGCCTTTATATCGCTGCTGGTAAGCGTCAAAGTTGCAATGACTTCAATACTGAGCTAAATGTACAGTCTGCTGAAATCAAAAGTTCACCTCTTATTAGCCTACCAAGACGATTAAAAACTGCTTTTAAATGAACTAAGCCCAATATACTCTTCGGAGTCGTGTTGAGCAGGTTTCAACTTCAAGTTAGTCTTTACTCTTGACATCACGAAAGCGTTCAACCAGCATGATGCCCTCTTATCGAAACTTACTTCCTATAGCCTCAGAGAAAAGCTTTGCAGATAGATGACTGACTTCCTCTCCGGTCGCCAGATATCCGTCGTAATGGACAGGCTTCCCTCTTAATCCCACAATGTCAACGCAAAGAGAAGGACAGTGGATTCGAGACTTCATATGTGATTTTTTTTCCTCAGGTTAACCCGTATCTGGGTGTATGAGCATGTGTATCTACTTTGGTAGTTGCATATGTGCATTCATTTTGGGCCTGATGAAGCCAACCAGCAGAAATACGTATCGCTCGGGTTACCTATCCGATTTTCTGCTCGAATCCACTGTCCTTCTTTTTGCGGATTTTGCCCATTATTTTCCTATTTTTTTTTTGTTATAAATATATATATATATATATATATATATATATATATATAATTTCGAAATAATAATCTACCTGGGTGCGTACTGCAATTTGAGAAAATGCTTTGATATTCAAGGGCTTCATTGGAAATCCCTAGGAAGTGACGGTATATCGCTTAGGGATGCTTAAATTATGTTTCTCTGCTATTTCTATCCAGATTGTGGTGATTGTGGTCGATATAAAGCACTTAAAGTTGTAAACTATAAAGCCATTTAGACAAAAATCTATTGACTTTTGGACCATGGGACATATGAACTTTTTGACTTGTTTTGACCCTGTATAATAATGAAATAATAGTTTTTGAGGTTGCCAAGAGCCTATATTAAAACCAGACCCAGAAGGGTATCTTAGGCTTACTTGATCTAAAAGCAATTTCTATTCTTGCTTGGTGGGGTTACAAGCGGCAACTATTGATTTTCGTAGACGTACCCTAACTTCATGAAGGTAAATCGTATAAGTACTGCATGTCCAGCGATAAGCATTAATGATCTAATTTCAAATGAAATACGGACAAGTACAATTTTTGATTAAATCCATTTACACTGAATTTTCTGAAGCTCGGAATGAGATTGGTCTCATTTCATCCCAATTGCTTTGTCGACTGATATGTTAACTGAAGAAAATAATTTATTGGATAGGAGTTTTAAGTTGCATGTAATGTGGTGAGCTCTTACACAATTTTAACTTTGTTTTATGTTTTGTTCTGTATACAGATGGTGGTATATATGTATAAAGTTTATGTAGTGTAGAGAAACAAAGTCGCAAGCGCTGAGCAAAGTCAGACGTGTTCGGTCTTTTGGTGATCATGCTTCCAGAATCTTGGTTGGTAGCAGGTCCTTAAGGGTTGTATTGAACGAAAATGTTATTGGGTTATACTTCAGAGAATTGAGAGAAGATACTTGAATCTTTCAGGAGTAAGGTAGTGAACTAGGTAAACTCAAAGGTCACTTTGACTTTAGTGGTATACATCTACTAGATCATCTATGAAGATGTTACGATTCACTCCTTAAGGGCGTGCCGTTAACTAAATTCTACTGAAATATGTTTATACTCATGTATAATTTTTTGTTACCTTTGTTACTAGCGAAAATGTAAGGGGCAAGACGGGCGTTAGATTGTTGTATACCATTTTAAATGAGACCCCCTTATAGTTTTGGATCTACTGTACTTGAGTATATTGTATATATTGTATTAAGTATATTTATGCATATAAGCTAAGTGTATACCAATTTAGGCCGCTAGTTGGTGGTCTGGCAATACCCCGTCTTACCCCGAACTATGACTGTTTTTATTTTAACTGTAAATACAATTTTACCTCCGATTAAGAATGTTGGCTGTTCGTTTTAAGTGATTCCCATCGATGAATCAGTGAGTTTGCGCTTTATTCGCGACCATTTTTACCTATTTCTTCAAAAAAGTACCTGGCGCAACATTAAGTAAAGTCTAACGAAAAAAGTAGATGACTTCATACATATGGCAAACGCATTTCCAACATTACGTAGGCCAACAACCGATTTCAGTCTTACTAAACAGAGAGGAAATAAAATGATACATAACAGGTTTACGTATTATACGTATATGAAGTGGACGCTTGAATGACGTCTTAATTTAGTAGAGGTCAACCTGCAGAGATTCTATAAAAATTAACTCAGTTATAACCATATTGTTACACAACTATAGCTAAAAAATTCTACGGGAAGCCCTATGGATTGCAAAAAAAATCTCGGTAATATGTAGCGATACAAAACGTGAACGACCATTGATATGACGTTTTATGAAAAGAAAAGAAGAAATGGAAGTTTGAAAGTGGTAACGAATAAAGCAAAACCTCACATACAAATCATTCTCGCCTTATCCAATGTATACGAAAACTAAAAAATCAATACAGATCAATGAGAGAATATCGTACCTCTGTGTTATATTAAGTATGAGAGGAGTCTTTTATTGTGTTCCGCTTTTTAATGAAAGTATATATTAATATTATAAACGACGATATGGGACGAGATACCTCTTAAACTACTTTGGTAACGCCGTGTCCTCTGTATAGTGTTTTTTTGAAACGTGAGCATTAAATGCTACATCTTGTGTACTTATATAAACTGTGTTTTCAATCAAACCCGTCGATTTCTCCTTTCCTGTTATCTCCCGCTCTACCTTTCTACAATACTTAAATCTGGAAGATTTGCAAAAGTGGAGTTCACTGACCAAATATTGTTGGCTATTCAACTCCCTCATTTCAAAGAATTGGCTCCTGGCTGGATATCAAAATTATATGCTGCCTTCCGAATTAAATATTGAGTCCACTCCTAATGTGACTTGGCTATGACGTCATTTCATAAAACAGACCTACAGCAGTAGTAGGTGTCGTCGGCTAGATTAACTAATATAGTCTGGTGAAATTAACCTATCAAACATATTTAGTAAACGCCTCCAATAGTAGTCAATATTGTCGGATTAATTGAAGGCTGTAGTCTGGTGAAATTAACCTACTTTGTCAACACCTTACATGACAGTAACTGATGTTGTCGAGTGTTTTCCAGTTAAACTTGCGATTAATTTCACCAGATTAGATGAACGGAGAAGCTATAAGAAATCTTTACTAAAGGACTAAACACTAAAATAGCAAATATCAGGAGCAGATTGCTGGATTCACCGCGTTGCAGTAATTCTGGTAACAAGTCTCAATTGCTGCAATTCGGGCGTTTCTGTCATCCGATGGTTAAAGTACGATAATGTGGATCAGGAGTAGTCGATGTCGTTGAGGAGATTGAAGAATTTAGTCTAGTGATATAAGCTTAATAAGTTTATTTGACAATAATTTTAAACGAGAGTAACCTATGTCGTCCGGTCTTTGCCAAATCAACATGCGAAGTTCGACGCACAACCACAGATAGGTCTTTACTAGGTGAATTTAAATTAGCCTCCTATTTCATATCAGGGGTAAACTGAAGATTCGATACCACCTCACACTTCTGTTATCCTGATAGCAAATCTTACACAATTCGAGAATTATAGTCAGTAGTGTCTGATGTACATCTTCGTCTTTCTGAAAACATTAGTATTGGAATCACAGACGTCTTTACAAGACTGATATGAATTTCTCGCCAATTTTGTATTAGGACCAGGCTGCATATTGGATACCTCCTCGCGATCCTGTTATCTTGATAGCAAATCTCAGTTTCCTATGATTGGAAGGTTTCAGCCATTAGTATCTGACTGTCTGTTTTGTGTATCCTAAAAATTTGTGTCAGGATCGCAGAAGCGACGAGAGGTATTTACTGGATGAATATAAATTTCTGATGAGTGAGCTTTAGTAGAAGAATCTAGATTCTCCGCCAATATTATATAGCAAACTTCACATCCAATACCTCCTCGTGATCCTGTTATTCTGATAGCAAATATCAGTTTCCTGCAGTTAGACGGCTTCAGCTAGACATATCTGATGGTCGGTTTTGTGCATTCTAAAAATTAGTATCAGGATCGCAGAAGCAACGAATGGGCTTTAGTAGAAGAATTTAGATTCCCCGCCAATATTATATAAGGAGCAAACTGCAGATCCAATACCTCCTCGCGATCCTGTTATCCTGATAGCAAACCTCAGTTCCCTACAGTTGGAGAGCTTCAGCTAGTCGTATCTGATATTCTAATATTTAGTGTCAGGATCACAGAAGCGACGAGAGGTCTTTACTAGATGAATATAAATTTATCACCAATTTTATTACAGAAGCAGTAGATTCGATACCTCCTAGAGTTTCTGTTATCCTGATGAATAATCTTAGTTCCTACAATTCGAGTGTTTGATGGTCAATGTATGGTTTTGGATTTCTGAAAATCAGTATCAGGATCGCAGAAGCGACGAGAGGTCTTCACTAGATGAATATAAATTACGCGTCAATTTTATATCAGATTCAGGCTGCAGATTCGGTACCTCCTAGATTTGATAACTCCTAGAGTTTCAGCTATCCTGATGAATAATCTTAGTTCCTACAATTCGAGTATTTGATGGTCAATGTATGGTTTTGGATTTCTGAAAATCAGTATCCGGATCGCAGAAGCGACGAGAGGTATTTACTGGATGAATATAAATTACTCGTCAATTTTATAGCAGAAGCAGGCTGCAGATTCGGTACCTCCTAGCGTTTCTGATATCCTGATAGAAAATCTCAGTTCCTACGATTCGCGAAATGAAACAATGTATGATTTTAAGTCTCTGAACGTATACAGTATCAAGATAGCAGAAGCTATGAGTGGGCTTTAGTAGAAGAATCTAGATTCCCCGCCAATATTATATAGCAAACTGCAGATCCAATACCTCCTTGCGATCCTGTTATCCTGATGGCAAACCTCAGTTCCCTACAGTTGGAGAGCTTCAACTAGTCGTATCTGATGATCGATTTTTGTGCATTCTAATATTTAGTGTCAGGATCGCAGAAGCGACGAGAGGTCTTTACTAGATGAATATAAATTACGCGTCAATTTTATATCAGAAGCAGGCTGCAGATTCGGTATCTCCTAGCGTTTCTGATATCCTGATAGAAAATGTCAGCTTCTAAGATTCGTGAAATGAAACAATGTATGATTTTATGTCTCTGAACGTATACAGTATCAGGATAGCAGAAGCTATGAGGAGGCTTTAATAGAAGAATTATTTAGCAAACTGCAGATCCAATACCTTCTCGTGATCCTGTTATCCTGATAGTAAATCCTACAGTTAGAGGGCTTCAGCTAGTCGTATATGATGGTCGGTTTTGTGCATTCTAAAAATTAGTGTCAAGATCGCACGATAGCGACGAGAGGTATTTACATAAACTTCTCGCCAATTTTCACAGAAACAGGCTGCAGGTTCGATACCTTCTAGAGTTTCTGTTATCCTAATCAATAATCTTAGTTCCTACAATTCGAGTATGTCAATGTATGATTTTGGATTTCTGAAAATCAGTATCAGGATCGCAACAGCGACGAGAGGTATTTACTGGATGAATATAAATTACTCGTCAATTTTATATCAGAAGCAGGCTGCAGATTCGGTACCTCCTAGCGTTTCTGATATCCTGATAGAAAATCTCAGTTCCTACGATTCGCGAAATGAAACAATGTATGATTTTATGTCTCTGAAAATATACATTATCAGGATAGCAGAAGCTATGAGTGGGCTTTAGTAGAAGAATCTAGATTCCCCGCCAATGTTATATAGCAAACTGCAGATTCAATACCTCCTCGCGATCCTGTTATCCTGATAGCAAACCTCAGTTCCCTACAGTTGGAGGGCTTCAGCTAGTCGTATCTGATGATCGATTTTTGTGCATTCTAATATTTAGTGTCAGGATCGCAGAAGCGACGGGAGGTCTTTACTAGATGAATATAAATTACGCGTCAATTTTATATCAGAAGCAGGCTGCAGATTCGGATCTCCTAGCGTTTCTGATATCTGATAGAAAATTTCAGCTCCTACGATTCGTGAAATGAAACAATGTATGATTTTATGTCTCTGAACGTATACAGTATCAGGATAGCAGAAGCTATGAGTGGGCTTTAATAGAAGAATTATTTAGCAAACTGCAGATCCAATACCTTCTCGTGATCCTGTTATCCTGATAGTAAATATCAGTTTCCTACAGTTAGAGGGCTTCAGCTAGTCGTATGTGATGGCCGGTTTTGTGCATTCTAAAAATTAGTGTCAAGATCGCACGATAGCGACGAAGAGGTATTTACATAAACTTCTCGTCAATTTTCACAGAAACAGGCTGCAGGTTCGATACCTCCTGATAAATAATCTTAGTTCCTACAATTCGAGTATGTCAATGTATGATTTTGGGTTTCTGAAAATCAGTATCAGGATTGCAGAGGCGATGAATGGGCTTTAGTAGAAGAATTTAGATTCCCCGCCAATATTATATAAGGAGCAAAGTGCAGATCCAATACCTCTTCGCGATCCTGTTATTCTGATAGCAAACCAGAGTTCCCTACAGTTGTGGAGGGCTTCAGCTAGTCGCATCTGATTTTGTGCATTCTAATAATTAGTGTCAGGATCGCAGAAGCGACGAGAGGCCTTTAGTAGAAGAAATTGAAGTCTCCGCCAATATTATACACTTATAAGGAGCAAAATTAAATACGTCCTCACTTTTCTGTTGTCCTGATAGCAAGTCCCAGTTAGACGGTTTCAGGCAGTGTATCTAATTTTATATTCCTAAACATTAGATTCAGAATCGCAGAAGCGACGAGATATCTTCATCAAATGAATTTTTCCCGCCAATCTTGTATGCGGAGCAGACTTCAGATTCGATACCTCCTTGCGTTTCTGCTATCTTGATAGCAATGTAGTCGGCAACGTCTGGCGGATTGGAGGATATAATAGTAGAGAGTAGAGAGTCTGCATCTTCATATAACAAGTATGACGGCCAGGTTAAGCAACATGCGTCCATCACATATGCCTGCATGGAAACCCATCTTAACAACCACAATGTATTCCTGATCTATCGCAACGATAAAATTGTTCCCAATTTTTAAGTGGTAACGATTTCCGGGTAAATAATAAAAAACGTACGACACGCACCTGTACAACCAAGAATTTTATATCATTTAGAACAATAAAAAGTTTGCAGTAAAAATTACGACCGGCTTTATATGCCATAAAAGCAGCGTAATTACGTACTTTTCTTCATAATAGTAAAAATTTTTATTTGTTGACCAAGCTGCTACCGTCAAAGATATTAATACAGTGCTCCCAGTGGATCAGACAATTTTATGAACTTTTATGTTTCTCGGGGAAAATGGTTGGTAGGTATTCTGCGGACCTTAGTTCCGTAATACATTTTTTTATACTTAATTATACTTGTGTTTATAACAATGCTTAACGGGTACCTAATGACCGAATGTCAAATCATACAAGTCTCTTCCACCTTTGTGCAAATATTCCTTTAAAATATTAGCAATAGTAGCAGTACTTTTCCAGTTACAGAGGGATGAAGTCTGACCGGGTGGATAACAGACAGACCGATGAGTATAAGAGACATGATTTTACGTGGTGTATATCATATAACATCTAGAAAACGCTGAATCTAGTCTTCGAAATTTGCGATTACTTTCCCGAAAT